CTTCATCTAACCCTTCCTCCTTGCTCCACTCAGTCATTTCAGTATTCAGAGATACAGGATTTACAGACACTTACTTTTTTTCTTTTTCCAAGATGTCCCAGTTTGGTTCTTCCCACTGTAGTTACAACTGCAAAAGTTGCTGGGATTCAGCAAAGAGCAAAATATTTTTTGTGGTGGCTTGTAAAGCATTTTGCAACAAAAGATGCTCTTTAAGTGGACATGTTATATTCATAGAAGGCTCTGAAATTTGAAATATGAATGTTGCCAATTTTAGTAAACACTGCACATTGATGGACTGCCTTTCCCATATACTTTTCATCTCCAACAACCTATGGTTTCAGTGAAGTCAAACAGCACAAATCAATGAATTAGAATCTGCCTATATTTGACGTGTTTCATATGTACCATCAGTGCTGTTTCAACTACTGTGTTAATGAGAAAAACAATGCTCCAGAACAAGCATAGTCTGAAGAAATAATGAGGAATAGATGAAACAGTGAGGAATAGCCGAGCGTCAGTTCAGGTGGGACAGAGACAGTAATTAGAAGTGATTTCTGATGAATTCTCTGAGACCCATCCACTCCTCCAAATGAAACCAGAAGCGGAATTTTTGGCCAAAACGTTTTGTTCAATGTGAAGAGTCTTCTGAAGCCAAAACTCAACACCCCTCTTTATTCCTGGATGCTTGGGAGGGTGTAGTTTCAGGCTTGGCTCCTTGTTGTGTGCGCTCTTGCTTTTTACGTGCAGGCATTTCAATGTAAAAGATTAACATGTTTCTTAACGTACTTTTTTTTCTGAAATAGAATAATGTAACATGTAGACTCGCGATACCTTTAGCATAAAAAGCACTCTTTTTTTTTTCCAGGCTACACTTGTGATTATCTTACGGGACGTTGCTTCTCTCACATGCACTGCAGCTGAACTGTTTCCATAGAGACGTTGTGCAGTTCATCTCTCTGAATGTCACCCGGACAGACATTGATGTTAAAATGATTGATAAACGGCGCACTCCTAGCTCTACTGGGCCCATGGGACTGAGAACTTATGTGCCAGAGGGAAAAAAAGTATGTCTTTATTATTGATAATACAATTTGCTTTGCAAACTATGAAGCATTACTTTAGGCGGCTTGTGCTGGGTTTGTAAGGAGCTCGATTTGGGCTGCCATCTGGAAACTACACTCCAGAGAGAAAATGTTTGCTTCGTGACTAAACACGCTGACTAACAGCCTGTGCTTCAACCGGTCTGGATCAAGTCCTTACAGGGAAATCCACAAAAATCTCGACATATTTTTCCGCATTCACTTCTGGTTGTGGAACAGCGCAGGAGTTTGGAAAGCCAAAGGCGGTCATTTTTGTGCTCAGAGGAAAACAAACCCCACCGTGTGCCGGCTGCCCGGCCTGGGCGACCCGACCCGACCCGACCCGACCCAACCCGGCGGGGAGCTTTTCGCCTCACGGCCTCCCAATGTCGCCGCCTTCCCCGAGCACCCACTGCCCCTGCCCCCC